TTCAATAAAGAAGTCCGATTGATCCTGTATATAACTTCTTTCTACATTGTTGTTTGCATGCTGACTCCTCAGTTAGAGAGTGATCCTCTCGAGGGCAAGAATTGTCTTTTGCTTTTCTTTGAATCCAGCTATATTGCTTTTATTATTTGTCAAATCAACTAAGAGATTTCAATTATGACACGGTTATGAGAATGAACCCCACAATTTGAAATAGTTTTAGAAAGAAATTTATTAGGTTGCTTCATAGAGGGGGAAAGCCAGAAGTCTCCCTACTTAGTCTCTGAGAGATTTACATTATTTCAAGGTTGCAAGGAAGAATACTAGCAGAAACAGCCCTTAGCAGTTAAGCTATTTTGTAGAGAGGGCAGTTCCCAGGCACAAATCCAAAAAGAGGTATATCAATAAGCGTCAACATTCAGATTTGGGGAACCCAAAACACAAGCATTGTCAACTGTGAAAACAAATGACCACAGAGTCACAGAGGTTATACAGCCTCTATTAACTCTGAAAATACCAAAGAGCTCACACAGGTTATCACAACTACAGTTAACTACAGTGAAAAATAAAATAAAATAAAATAAAAACAAATAACTAACGGTGGTCATAAGCAAAAAACTTTCTTTATTCTACTGGAGGCAGGAAACTAGACCTACGTACAGGGACCTTCCCTAGTAGGAGACCCTCTTTAGTGTGGACAGTTCTCAATGTATATACTAGTGGCTATGCAGTGAGCTGTAGCCCTGACAATGAGGGGTAACAGTAACAATGAGAACAATGAGACAGTTTTGATTCATAGCAGGACTTCACAATCAGAACATGGGTACAGCAGGTGCTTGTCAAAGCTCAGGGAAGGACCACCTGGTGATAGTATGAAACAATTCTGGATTTTGCTGTGGCTGAGTTCATCCAAAGGCTGAGCACAAAGGATTGATGTCATGCCAAGCACAAGGCACAGCTTGCTTGAAGGGCCTTAGCTCTGGAACACAGTGTTTCCTAATAGTAAAAGAAAGGGGTGATCCTGACATGGGGATCTTGACAGGTGGATACAAGACTAGACCTTGGTGGAATCTTTGTTTTTTCTATCTTTTAAAAACATTTTTATTTAAAGTTTTGAGTTCCATATTCTATCCCTCCCTCCCTGCCTCCCTTCCCCCTCCATGAGACAGTAAGCAATCAGATGCAGGTTATCAGATATAGGTTATACATGTGCAATTATGTAAAACATTTCCATATTATTTTGTACAGGAATACTTGAATAAAAGAAAAAAGAAAGAAGGAAAATGAAAAATAGCATGTTTCAGTCTGTATTCAAACAACATCAGTTTTTTCTCCGGAGGTGGATAGTATGCTTCATCATTAGTCATTTGGGATTGGCTTTGATTCTTGTATTCCTGAGATTGGCTAAGTCATTCACAGTTTTTCATTTAACAATATTGCTGTTACTAAGTACCATGTTCTGACTCTGTTCACTTCACTATGCATCAGTTCATGTAACTCCAAGTTTTTCTGAAATCATTCTGCTTGCCATTTCTTATAGCACAATAGCATTCCATTACAATCATGTATCACAGCTTGTTTAGCCATTCCCCAATTGATGGGTATCCATTTTGATTTCCAATTTTTAGCCACCACAAAAAGAGCTGATATAAATATTTTTGTATAAGTAGATCCTTTTCCTTTTTTTTTTTATGTCTTTGGATTATAGACCTAGCAGTGGTATTGCTGGATCAAAGGGTGTGCACAGTTTGATAGCCCTTTGGGCATACTTCCAAATTGTTCTCCTTAATGGTTGGGTCAGTTCACAACTCCAACCTTGGTGGAATTTTAAGCAATCCTTGAAGCATCTGGCTTCCCCAGGAAATCTCTGACATCTATAGTAAGCTTTTGGGTTAGACAAAATCAAGCTAGATTCAAACAATACTAATAAATAAAGCTTCCTGAAGAATATTGTAAAATATTTCCCATCAATTCCCCCATTTGGGCTTATTAAAGCCCAACATTCTCAAAAGTAGAGAGCATAATTATAGAAGAAGAAAGCTGAGTTATGGTTTCAAATGGAGTTATGGTTTCAAAAATAATACAACTCAGTAGCATCCTCCTCACTACTTATCTCACCTAGAGCTTTAGATAAATCCTTTAAAGAGGAATAGGGGTCAGATTGGGGATGAACTTTTCCCAATGTCTAATAGTCAGAGAGATCAATCTGAGAAAATCTTAGGGGCTATAAATCAGGGACTTAAGCTTACACCAAGAAACAAATACATTCTGGACATAATCATCCCCAAAATCATAATTCCACGCTGCCTTCAATGTCATAAAACCTGGACAAAAAGCAGTTAAGCAAAGTTATAATCTCATATATCACTTAAGGAGATAAACCTTGTTAAACTCACTCTATAAGTAAACTAAGTCAGGTTACAGGTTATACTACACATTTAGAGGGTTCACAATAAACTAACCAAGAAGGGAGATTTACATACTACCAAGGTAACCATGAAAACTCATGCAAATCCTTCTTACACAGTTAACTAGGGTAGCTGACAAATAACTAAACCACTTTAGGAAACTCAGACCTCCATTTGGCTTCTACTTGAGGAATGCCAAACAGTTAACATAGTTATTCCATAAGTCAGGTTTTGGTTAGGTGAGGTTAAGATAAACAGAAGACAGGCTTTCAGATAACCAAAAAGGTTGGAGGAGAATTGGCTCTAATCCCCAAGCAATAAATAAAAGGAATTTGGGTACACCTTTCTTGTAGACAGACATAAAAACACCATGAAAAATAAAAGCCAAAGTAATGCAACAATAATCATCAATATTAAATAACATCAAATCTCCTTCCTGGAAACCCACTCCCAATGTCCATTTAATCAGCACATTTATTTCATCATGAGTCCCAGCCATCACATGCAGTCATCTGGTCCCTGGCAACATCTTTCCTTAGATGGGGTTCAGCTAGGTGGCACAATGGATAGAGCACTGGCCCTGGAGTCAGGAGGACCTAAGTTCAAATTCAGATTCAGACACATAACACTTACTAGCTGTGTGACTCTGGGCAAGTCGCTTAACCCCAACCGCCCTCACCAAAAAACAATAACAACAAAAAACAAAAAACAAAAATCTTTCCTTAGAAACTCTGGAGTAGGTCTCATTCTCAGAGCAGCTCCGGAGGTGTCCTCCTCCTAACAGATCCACTTCTTTTGTTCTAAGTAACTTGCAGAGATTCTCTATTTAATGTTGCTAAAATAGGCAAGTGACGAGACTCAACACAATTTAGTACAATCTCCTAAATTTGGTGTTCCAATAAGTAGTTCATGTGGTAAAAACCAGCTCACACTTTATGGAACTAATTTTATTAACAATAGAGGTATAAGAAGACTACCAAATTAGCCATAATTCCCCTGAATGTTCAGAGAATTTCAATTTTTATATACCACTTAATCTTTCTAGTTTTACTTCAACCCTCTACCTGATATGGACAATGCCATCTAGAGGCTGAAGGAAGACTCTTAAAGGATCAATTAGGGCCTGCCTTGTAAAATGAGCCCTTCTGTCCCTTAATATAATTAGACAGAGACTTTAAAACATGGGGAATGTAATTTTATATGTAAAATCCTTAATTCAATTTTGAGAACTTATTACTAAAACATACTCAAAGCCTGTGTATCCCATTAGAAACATTTACACATACACTGTGTGTGTGTGTGTGTGTGTGTGTGTGTGTACACTAGTTCTTATACAAAACGGTCTAATCTTGTTGCTGTCTCAAAGTGAAGTTTACTACTTCATTAAAATTTAAAACTTTTACGTCTTTTTCCACCTCCCCCTCTTTTTGAAAATATATGTTAACCTCATATCATCCTGAACCAATGAGACACTTTAAAGACTTAATTTTATACATAAATATATAACTATTAACAAGGGGATGGTAGGAAAGGGGAAAATAGTTTAGTAAAACTAACTAACATCTTGGAAAAAGTCTGATAAAAGTAATGTTTCTTATTCATGGTCTTTCACCTCTGCAAAGAAATTAGAAAGGTTCCTATTTCTCTTCTTCACAGCCAAGCTGTGTCATTATAATTTCTTAGCATTATTTCAGGGGTTTTTTTCCATTTACACTGTTGTAGTCATTGCATATATTGTTTTTCTGGTTCTGCTTACTTCATTTTGCATCAGTTCATCTATGTCTTCCCATGCTTCTCAGTATTTGTCATTCTGTGTGTTACAGCACTGTAATATTCCATTATATTCATGTGTCAAAACTTATCAATTTTCCCCAATAACTATATATCTATTTTGTTTCCAGTTCTTTGCTCCTATAGATATTTTGGTGTATAGGGGGCCTTTGGTTTTATTATAGACTAGTTTGGATATATACTTAGCAGTGAATTTCTGGGTTAAAGGTTATCATATTCAGTCATATACTTTTAAGATAAAGGACATCATAGATTCTTTCTCTTAGTGTACACTCTAATAGAGACTCTCAAATCTATTCTAGGTGTTACCATTTTTCTAATTAGTGGCATCAATATAGCTGTGAGATTTTCAATTCAGTAAACCAGACCTAGCTGCTCTGGATTTGTACCTTACCTGTACAAGATTATCCTCAATCAATTTTAATTTGACCAAAAAACTAACAATCATTCACTTGATCTACTGTATCGAGCTCCTAAAACAAACAACCTGCAAAATACTTTTGCTTTTATGAATGGATAATCATTTGTTCTCAAGTGGTAGGGTACATTTAGTCAGTTCTAGTCAGTTAACTACTGACTTGTAGACTCATCAAATTTAAGAGTGTCAAGAGATCCTAGAGATCATCTAGGCTAACCAGTTCATTTTATAAATGGGAAAGCTCATGATCAGAAAGGCTGGTATGGGAGTGTGCTGGTAAATGTTTAACTAATTCTCAAAAAAAAAGAAAAGACACACACTTTTAAGTTTAATCTGCAATATTGATATTTTCTCTATCACTTTCTTAAATCCTGACAGTCATCAAAACAAGAAATTAAGCCCTGATCTGTAGTCTTTGTCAATTCTGAGGTGGAAATGCTCACAGTCAAAATTTAATAATTTTTGAGCTGGCTCCAGCACATCCTTACAGTGAGGTTGAACTCTGGTCACAAGACTGAGCTCGGACCAGAACCCAGGTTTCCTGGCTCTGGCTAGAGCTCTTTCCCATTTTGGGAAAATGTTTGAACATTTACCAAATCTGGGAAGCAGAATTAGACTTGTACCAGAAGGAGACAGATGTAAGAGAGAACTGAGAAGACTTAGCAACTTATTGGATGTGTAGGGTGAGGGGGAAATGGAATATGACACGGAGGTTGGGAAGGATAGTAGTGACCTTAACAAAGAGGCAAGTCTGGAAGGTAAGTAGGTTTTGGTGGGGAGGGACAATGTAATAAGATTTCTGATGCATCTTATAACTCTTCCTTTACCTCACTTTCTCACCCAAAATAAAAAAGTGGGCAGGGGTTTGGTCAATTTTGTGGAACCTCTATGACCTGTGGTTTGGGGTGCCTAGATAATTCGTTAAGGTATAACTGAGTTATAAATCTCCTGAAAGACAGAGGACCAGTACAGGAGCAAGGAGGTTAGTAACCTGTATAGTGGAAGGAAGGGACCAATGGAGAGATAAAGGTAAATATAAAGGTAAATGCAGTTATTTGGTGACAAGTCCCAAGATTAACTATCACAGGAAGGTGGGATTTGAACCACCTTCCTATCCTCTAACTGTTCAATCTCATGGCTCTCCCAGAGGATTTAGCCTCTACTTTAGCAGCTACTGTCCTCATGTATTGATGTTGGCTATAAATAGTGGGACTGATATGACAGGAGGGTCTATGATTCTGATTCTGAGGCTTCAGCACTCCTGAATTTCAGATTTGAAAGCAATCCTTTTTTTTAAGCCAGAAAAAAAATGTTTATAAGAGACTGTATATAATGTAAACATTAAGTATGTATATATTATTAATGTCATTGCACTTCTTGATCAGTCAGTCAATAAGCATTTATTAAGGGCCTACTATGTACCAGGTGCTGTGTTAAGTGCTGGGTATACAAAGAAAAGGACAGTCAACTATAAACAAACAGGCTATACATGGGATAAATCTAGAATAATCAACTGAGAGAAGGGACTAGAATAAGGGGGAGCAAAAAAAGCTTCTCCAAGCAATATGGAACTATGCCCAAAGGGCTATAAAAATGTGCATGCCCTTTGACCCAGCACTAGCACTTCTAGGGCTATATCCCAAAGAGATCATACAAATGGGAAAAGGACCCACATGTACAAAAATATTTATGGCAGCTCTTTGTGTGGTGGGGAAGCAGAATTGAGGGGATGCCCATCAGTTGGGGAATAGCTGAACAAGTTGTGGTATATGAATGTAATGGAATACTATCGTGCTATAAGAAATGATAAGCAAGTAGACTTCAGGAAAAACCTGTAAAGACTTGTATGGTCTTTTGCTGAGTGAAGTGAGCAGAACTAGGAGAACATTGTACACAGTAACAGCCACATTATGTGATAACTAACTTTGATAGACTTAGCTCTTCTCAGCAATGCAAGAAATCTAAGACCTCTCCAAGGAACTCATGGTGTTAAGTGCTCTCCACATCCAGAGAGGGAACTGTGGAGTCTAGATGTAGATCAAAGCTTACTATTTGTTCTTTTTTTCCCTACTATTTTGTTTTGTTTATTCTTTCTTGAGGTTCCTCCTATTGGTTCTAATTCTTCTTTATGGCATGACTATTGCGAAAATATGCTTAATAGAAATGTATATGTAGAGCCTATATCAGATAGCACGCTGTCTTGGGTGAGGAGGAAGAGGGAGAAAATTGAGACCTCAAAAGCTTATGGAGGTGAATGTTGAAAACTAAAAATTAATTAGTTAATTAATTAAAGGGGAAAAAAGAAAATACAACTACAAGGAAAAAACATAAACAGACTGGACAAAAAAAAATCTCAAGGAGTCATTTTAAAAAAAGCCTCCTGGAAGATGAGATTTTATTTGAGACTTGAAGAAAACCTAGGGGAGCCAGGAAGTAGAGATGAGGAGGTAGAGTATTCCAGGCATGGGGAACAACCAGGGAAAGTGCCTAGCATCTTTCATAATCTTTCATAATTATAATAATCTTAACAATTCATATTTCTATATTGTTTTAAGGTTTATAAGGCAGTTTTCTTCACAACTCCATGACATGGGTAGTACAAACATTATTATTCCTATTTTTCAGATGCAGAACCTGAGGCTCAAATAACTTGTCCCAGGTCAGACAACTAGGATGTACTTCACTGCACAACTGTTGCAGATTTTGTGGCAATTTTTTTGCAAAAATTTGGGGTGCAACCATTATGCGAAGCTTTTAAAAGCTGGTATTACTTAAAAGTCATTTATTACTAAACTGTCATTGGTGCAAGATTAGGATGCATGGAATACGCATGAATCAGTGTTAAAATTGGGAGGATGCAAGTCTTACCGTATCATGTGACTTACTTGTGGCAGCTTCACCTGCCCATCCACTCCCCTTGCATCTAAGGCTCTTCATTGGGTTGAGTGACAACACCATTAGTACTGCAATGCTCTAAACAAACCACATAGGTCGGCTTTCGGAAATATACTGACAATGCATACGTGCTGAGAATTCTAGGCTCCCGGCTTGCAATGCACGTATCCATATGCCACTGGTGAATACATTGCCGTTCTTTTTACCTCTTAAGCAGCATGGCAAATAGAATTATACCATGTGATGATTACACGATGAAAGGTTATAAACCCATTTTTGGATTGAAAACACAGGGTGCTACAGTTATGTGGTGATGATTATGTGGTGAAATACAGTAGGTGTCAGAGCTGGGCCTCTTACCTAGGTCTCCTGCCTCCAAATTCAATGCTCTTCTTATCACATCAAGACTTTTTCCTCACCAAGTGTTAGAATCACAGACCAATAGAATCTTGGAGTTGGAAAGGACCTTGGAGGGTATCTAGTCTAATCCATACCTGATCAGGAATTCCACGTCCAATATTTCTGATAAATGGTTAATTAACCCTGCCTGAAAATCACCCTTGGATGGGGAGCTTACTACCTGCCACAACAGTCCATTCCACTTTGGGACAGCTCTAATTGAGATCAAAGGACTTTCTTACATCAAGCTAAAGTTTGCTTTTTCCCTACATGGTGCTATAATGGAAAGCACATGAAGTCACAAGAAACCTGAGCTCAAATCCTGCCTCTGACACTTACTAACTGTATGATCAGACCATGGGAAGCAATTGAACTTTTCTGTGCCTTTATTTCCTCATTTGTAAAGTGAGGAATATATCTTTAGGAGCTACCACACAGAGTTGTTATGAAAATCAAATGAGATCATATGATCAACTGAGATTTTTTTTCTAAACCTAAAGGTGCAATGTAAAGGTCAGTTATCCTTGTAATTATTATTACAATTCTGCCCCCTGGGCCCACAGAGAGGATGCCTACTACAATTTCCCATGACAACCTTTTAAATATGCAATGATAAATTTATCATAGCATAGTTTCTGGTGCCCTAACCCTTCCAGCTGTCCTCCTCTGGATGCATTTCAATGCCCTTCTTAAAAGGCAATACAAAGAGTCAGTCAGTTAAACATTTATTAAGCATCTACTCTATTCCAGTCACTGTGCTAAGTGCTGGGGATACAAAGAAAGGTAAAAACAGTCCCTGCTCTTGAGAAGCTCACAGTCTGATGGGAGAGACACCAGGTAAAGAGCTATGCACAAACAAGAAAGAAAGAAAGATGTATAGATATACAAACACACATACACACAAATATGCACACACAAAATCAGCAGAGAGAAGGCATTAGAATTAAACAGGGGGGCAGGAAAGGCTTCCTGTAGAAGATAGGATTGTAGCTGGGTCTTGAAGAAAGCCAGAGAAGCCAGTAGCAAGATGTGAGCAGGAAGAGGATGCCAGGGATGGGGGAAGGGAACCCAATATTCCACATGTGCTTTGTCTCAGAGCAGAGAACAGCAGGACTACCACTTTCCTCATTTAAAACAACTGACTTCTTTTCTATTCCTTAGCTCAAGGCTTCGGACTCTAGAGATTTAAGTCCCAGGCTCTATCCCACTACGAAGCCATTAACTTCTTTCCTTGTATGTAACTCTCTTCATCTTTTTTTTTCTCTTTCTCTTCATCTTGAGATAGAAGTTGGGGCACTCAGAGAGATTCTGGGCTTACAACCACGGCAGCAGTAAAAATAATCCCAATAATGATGACCACTCTTTACCTCATATCCTCTCATCAAATCCTTTCCAGTTTTAGTTCCTATAACTCTCCATCACAAATTCTTTGGTGCATCCCAGGTCAGGAACAGTCAGAGGAAACGAAATATCAGTATACGTGTGAAAAAAAAATGCTCCAAATCACAATTAAAGAAATGCAAATTATAACTCTGAGGTTCTACTTCACCCCCAGCAGATTGGCAAAATTGACAAAAAAGGAAATGACAATTCTCAGAGGGGCCATAGAAAAAGAACAGTATTGGTTGATCTATAAATTGGTTCAGCCATTCTGGTAAATGGTTTGAAATCATATTCCAAAAGTCACTAAACAATGCATACTGTTTAATTCAGCAGTACCGCTTGTTGTAGGCCTAACTCTAAAGCCATCATGTTACAATTCAATATTCTGATGAAATGAGTTAACAGTGAGTCACTGGACATTTAACAAAGAAGGCAGTTTACTTTGCCTCAACACAGCATATATATGCAACAAGGATATACAGCAGGCAGGGATATAGCAACACTTAGAGGCATAGACAATTTTGTTTCCTCCTAGCTATATCCTGAAATGGTTTTCAGGGGTGGGAGGAGGGCTTGGAGGTGTAATGAGCTTATCCAAACTAACTTGGCTTCATCCCAACCTGAGGTTAGCTTGAAAATACTATTATTCAGTTGCTGAATTAATTGATATAGTGTAACTCTTAAAAGTCTGAATGCTACTGTATGCATAATTGCTATATGTTGATACATGAAAAGGTTGTTGTGGTCCAGTTTTCGTGAATTGAATTGATGTCTGTTGCTCTGCTATTGTATTGTTTGTGCATAGCATAATAATGCAATAGAACATTATTGCTAGAATACTGTACTTTTATTGTTTGCATTAATATTTGTATATTAATATGGGAAAACATGAAGCAAACTCTAGAAAAGATGGGAACTAAGACAATCACCTTGCTTTTGCAGCTGAGAAACATAAAGGTTTCTTAATATTAGGAGTATACCCACGCCTTAAGAATACATTTTTTTTCTTTTTTCTTTTTGGCAATTGGGCTTAAGTGACTTACACAGGGTCACACAGCTAGTAAGTGTCAAGTGTTTGGTC